AAACCTTTGAAACTGTATTATCTATAAACTATTCATGATTTAAGATACATAATATACAGTAAACGTGTTGTATGGGGTTGCAAATAGGTAAAAATATGTCTTAAGTTGTTAGTAGTAAATAACTTATTTCAATATTGGTCACTATAGGGGACAAAACTTTCTATCTCTAGTCTGTGCTATACCCATGTTGTAAATCCTTAAAAAATATATGCAATTTAGTATTTTTAATCATTAAATTATTTTAAGTGGTGGTGGGATAATAATTATAAAAAAACTATGTAATTCTTATGGAAATTCTGAAAATTACCATATCTTAATTGTTAATTGGTACTGTTGAGTCAAGTAATAGAATTTGTTTCAATACTTTTTTACGCTCATTCAATTCTTTTATTTGATAATAGTTCACAAGTAGTTTATAAAAAAAATTATATGTATAATGTTTACAGGTTTATTTTGGCAATACTGCTGTTAATCAGATGTTTTTTTTTTGACTTCATATGATTCCAATCGTATTGTTGTTAATGTTTACAGTTAAATATATTATTAAGCGTATGGTTTGGTTCTTATCGCCCAGTGTGGGTGCGGAAATGCCGAGATTCCTAGAAAGCGGCGGTTAAACCAAACTGCTTTCAAAGGAAGGTCGGTTAAAACAAACTGTAATATTTGACGATAGAAGGCGGATAGTCCGATTATCGTTTAATACGAGGTCGGTTAAGAGGTGGTCTACTGTAATATTCAATTAAAGGTGGTTATGTAGCTGCTGTACTTTAAACCAGTGTGTGTTAATTGACCAATCTCACTTCAAGGCTTTTCAAATCAACACAATAGCTGTTTTATTGTAAAATTATCGGATCTAAAATGCATATCATACCTTATATAATGGGATGAAAGAAATAGGTGGTCACGTGATTGTTTACAAGATGATTTTCCCTGTTAAAACTGCCTTAATTTTTCTCTATGCCTGTAACCTAGCTGCTTTGAATAATTATATCCAGTTGAAATCAACTACTTGATTCCTGTACGTAGGACGGGCCAACAGCTAGTTAAGTTTAAACATGCGTAACATAAGTAAAAATTAAGAAAATGGTTGAAGCCAGATATTTTTGAAAGCTCATTTAACTATTAAAGTGCTATAAAAGTTTCAACCCCCTACGAAATTTCACATCTTTGTAGTGAAAATAATTCAAAGCTCTATTTTTAATGTTTTTGACCACCCTGTAAATAGGAATAAGAATAGAATAATTAAAAACTTTTTCCACTAAAATACTCAGGGATCAAAGACTTTTAAAATGAGGTAAAACACGGCCCCTTTTAGATTAAAAAATTCCCTAAAACCACCCCCACACCACCCCACAAAATCTGCCCTTTTGGGCACTTTTTAGAGTTTAAAAATAATTTTGCTGAATTCTTCGGGGTCAAAATAGGGGGTTCCAGTAGCAATCAGGTTTCTATTTGCTTTCATATTGGAGCTATAGAAGCCCAAGATGGTCTGGGACACCCTGTATAAAGTATATTAATGTAAGTAGGCCTATATGTAATGTATATGAATTTGAACGGATGGTGTTTTGGCCTCAAGGGACATTAAAATGGAAAAGGAAATCGGTCCTGAGTGCAGGTCTTACCTTGAGACCTACGGTAATAGATTATTCCCTATATGGGAAATTTGCTAAAAGTAAAATAGTATATTACGTTACTAGTCCTGAAAATAAGTGTTTACCGGACGAGTGTAGTCGTTCCCGTGAGGCGAAGTCGAGTACGGGATTACCATATGAGTCCGGTACACACATTTTGAACGAGTTACATCCGATAGTTTACGCCTTGCTACTAAATAATCTGAACAAATCCTTATATATTTTCACCAACTAAAGGACTAAAAATCCCTAGTCATAACCTCTAGGTTATGTTTTTGTTTCAAACCATTCATTGCCACCTAAATACAGTATAATCAGCTGATTGGTGTCTGGTAAAACCATTACAGTACAGTAGTACGCAATGAAACCCCATTTGAATAAGCTGTTGGCAACAGCTGTTTTCTGGACTAAATCCTTGAGTGGGAAGTTCGTCAAAATAATGTAGTGTGGCGTAAAATATTTATTTAGTTCTCACAAAAACAAAAAAACTATTTACCTAGAAGAGAGCAGTGTCCCATCCTGAGGCAGTCCTGTGTAGTTACGAGCGACTGGCAGTAATGCAGTGATCACCGCAGAGCTGATGTAGAAACCGTGATTAGCGTCTGGTGGATACTCCTGCCACTTGAGGAACACGTAGTCAAACTGTACAGACACCTCTGTGACTGACCTGGCTGGCAGCTCCACCATCACCTCTAGGTAGTAGGGTCTCTGGCGCTCTCTGCCTGGTGTGTAGCGCTTCACCACTGTACAAAGTATAACATTTTTCCATTCATTTTTTAACATAAAACTGTAGCCCCTCAAAACCAAATATTAATAATTGATGTACACATTTCAGGTCACCCAAAACCTCCACTGAATGTTTATAGTTCGGCCGCTTAGAAAGCGACCTGCGCGCTAATGCTAAACCAATGCTAAAAGAGGTCGTTTTGTAAGCGGCCGAACTATAGTTTTATAGTAGGCTACACCAATCTATATAATTAATACGCTACATGAAACTTTGTCGGTTGAACTCCTCCGCCATTTCTTAACCGATTTTATCCATTGACGTCTCATTGGAAAGAGCGTGTCGCGTAGATTTGCAAACTGGCCTTACATTTTTGAAAAAGTCCCTTGGGCTCTGCCCCAATGGCTTTGAAAGTTCCCATGTTATCCTTATGAAGAACATAATTGTTTACATTTTGATCAGCTGTATAGTTTAATTGCTGTTATTTATTATTCAACTAAATGAAACGCATTGAGTACATTTATTTACTATTTGAGTTTGTGTAAACATAACCCCGAAGATGTTAGTATGGTTGTATCTTAAATTTGTTTATTTATCGTTGTTTTGTGTCACTATGAGGGATCGTGTTAGCATGATTGTTACTTAAATTTGTGCATTTATCGTTGTTTTGTGTAGCTATAATTTGTTTAGTTGCCGTTTTTTTCTTTTAAATGCCTCCAACGCGACGACAACGAAACATAGACAGGAGGCGTAATCGTGATAACGACCGCAGCTACAGAACAGTGGCGCGTAGGTTACAAATGCGCCCTAACGCTACCCCAAAACGGATTTTCGTTCTAAATAATTGGCTCTAAATGACTTGTGTTGCCTGTACATTTTGAGAAGGAGAAAACCGGTCGGAATGTTTTAGGTTTATCAATAACAAGGATAAACATGGTCTGAGTTACACACCGGTAATTATTGAGTTGACTCTTTAAACTCATTGTAAATATGACTATTATTCGTTTTTAAACGAGTCCTGTAATACTTTGCAATTGCTCGAATTCGAGCAACATGTACACCAATTTTCCTTAATGGCGGATATGTAGGTATTTTTTCTAGCGTACTGGGCTTATTATTTGAGGTTGCTTTCAATCATAAATTGGTAGGCTGAATTCATTTGATTAGTTTGACAAATAATCAAGGCCTAGCCAATCTAGTTCAAGTGCATTCTAGCATGCTTGTTTCTAATTACCATCAACAGACTATTTTTACATGGATGGTAGCTAGTAAAATGATGAAGTAACTTATAAATAATAAAATTCTAGTTATAGAGTAAGCTATGTCTTTCTGAGCTATAAGAGCGACTGTGTAAAACGCCAGGGTAATGATTATTGCATGCACATTAGGTGACAGAATGAGCTATTCCTACATTGAATTGGTTAGACCTGACTCCCAACAAATCATACTCACAAGGCTTGATGGTTCGTCCCTGACTCACAATTCGGAGAGTGTGAAGATATATAGGCACAAACCAGGGAATGTTCTCCAAGAAAATCACTGTAATCGGTTGCCAATGGCGATTGTGGATTTTGGTCACAATGCCGCCATATTCCTGGCCATATCCTGCAAAAAAGGATACTTTTTTTGGTATTGCCAATCATAGATAGATGTTTAGTTTGCAATTATTTATTAATTGACACAAGTTTACAAATGGTTGATTAAACTGTACACTGATAAATTATGAGTCCATTGATAACCTGTTTTACAACAGAAAGCAATTTATTAAAAGTTAAGACCAATAATTGTGGCGTTTAAGCTACGATATTGGCGATTATTGTCGATTGATTGAATGTTACAACAAAACCGTTTGTGTAAGAAACGACAACTGAACCCCTTAATTTAACCAGAGGAGACAATTTTACCGTGAATCACAGGCCTAAAGAGCCAGCTTTGATGATTATTAATATTAATTTAAAACTATTTCTTAATAGGAAAAGAAAGTTGTGTTAGTTACAGCGTTTATAACTAGAAAACTACTGAACCAATTGGCATGAAAATTTACAGGGATATTCCTTAGGTACTAGAATAACATAATAGCCTGTTTCCGTTTCAAAAACCCTTAAGGGAAGCGTCCTATGGCCCTTTGCAGTTTACATGTTAATCTTATGGAAGAATGTTTTATTTTGTTTACCATGCCATGTTTGTCATTTCTTGATTAAATTAAATTAAGGAAACAGCTGTTGTAATGATAACCTAATTTTTAAAAACAAATCTATGCATAACAAATGAGAGCTATCAAATAGGTTTCTATTCCATTTGTTTTTTACGAATATTTGTTAGGTCAGGTTTATCGGTCTGTGTTCAAAAAGGTTTAACAATTTTGTAAACTATCAACCTTAGATCACACTAAACATCATCTTACCGACAATATATCTGTTGGCGTAGATGGCGGGTGGAATGTTTTGAGCAAACACACGAGGTTTGTCATGTACCAGAGCAATGTTGAACATGCCTTCAGGGTCCAGCCGAGCCACATTGTAGACAGCCAGCTCAGTCTGGTGGCCACCTCGCAGACTGGTCACTGTTCTGTCTGGCAGCGGGTTCAGTCGGAACATTTGTCCTGTCTACGAACACAGATTTTAATTTGCAGATCTTGAAAGAGCAAATAGATTATTAATTAATATACAGAGTGTTCAAAAAAGGTGGGGACATAATTTACGTAGTGATTCGTTGGTTCAAAATAAAGAGATTTTGAAATTTTTAGTTGAATCAAGATGAATTTATTTCTAACACGAGTCTCTTCTATCTTAACATACCTACTAAGTTTCTGAAGATTAGTTAAAAAAAATCAAAGATACAATTTTTTATGTATAATAAACAAAATGGTGGATATCTGGTTAACTTAGTTTGACCCAAGGAACCACTACGTAAATTATGTCCCCACCTTTTTTTAACACCCTGTATATTAGTAAAGGAAAGGTAACACCGTTTCTATTCTATCAAAAATCTATTTTAGCGGTATTTTCACTATCCTAGCAATAACGGCAATCTTAGTCCCAAAGGTGCCTCATTAAATAGTGTTACGTACATTATAATTTGAATGATTGATCTATTTTACAGCTTAGAATAATAGGCTAACTCGTTTTTTTTTTAAAGAATAAATTTTTTTGTCAAACTAAATGTACCTGCATGCATTACCTTGATTTTGACAATATTACATTGACAATTACATATTGCATTGACAATATAACAAATAATATAACATACAATTATTATATATACACTACTAAAATGTGAAGTCATGTAACACAACCAGGTAACTAAGTTCGTAAATTTATTTAATAGATCAATAGAACTAATTATGTTTATATTTTACTGCAGTAGAAACCTCATATCCTAATATAAAGATTAATAACACAGATAAAGACCAGGATACATAAAGATAAGACAATCAGAGGAATATGTAACTGTCAGAGAAGGGATAGAAAAGGGAAACTAATTTTAAGGTAAATTCAAATTCATAGGTAGGCCTAAATTCGTACAATTCCCGCCTGAATATAAAACAACTAATATAAAAAATAACAACAATAAAATCACAGAAACACAAGTGATTTTTATTGAAACTTGTATGTTCAGGAGGCATGCAGAATCACAGTAGTATTGTTGAATATTCCAAGGAATCAGTTATCCCACAGATGGATGGGGGAGGGGTTATTCTGAGATATTAGTGCAGTATACTCCCGATTAACCGAGGCTGTTGGGACCGAGACTACCTAGGTTACCAAGAATCTCAGATATCACGGAGGTAGCATAGATTTTGAGGTTAGGGTTACGGTACCTTATATGAAGTCAAATACTTGTAAAATATATCTTCAAACAACTCATAGCGAATGAAAAATTATAATGTTATTTTGATAATAGGCTTAATTTTTTTTAAATAACGTAGTATTAAAAAAAATGACACAACAAACATGTTAAACACTTTTAATCGTCTTGAAAACTTTAAACACAGTAGGCTTAGCCTATTATTAAAATTATGATAAACCAATACAAACTACATTATTTAAAACAAAATACTAAGGTGGATCTTTCTAGATTTAAAAGCATAAAATTACATTTTGTTTAAGTTTGACCTAATCTATAACTTGATACAATCATGTCTACATAAAAACATCGTAAGTTAGAAGACTGGACTGACTTATTGCGGTTCATTATAACGTAAAAGTAATACGTATTAGTTATTCCAAGTACTGTATTTGTTTCAATAAATCTCAAATTAATTGCTATTATTGCGTTTTTTGAATAGAAACATTGTATAATAAATTAGGTAGTTATTATAGTGATTATAGAATACTAAAGTCTATTACCCTACTGAAAATAAAAATATATATTTAGGCCAAAAAAACAACCTTGGATAACCCGATGGCTCGTATAATCGGGAGTGTACTGTGTAGTAAAGCAGAAACAAGATTGATCTAAAAAACTTTAATTTTGTTTAATTAAATTGAATTTAACTGGCGACAACTACAAAATAAAAAATATGTTACAAAATAATATGGTAACTTGGGCATTGTTGTTTGGGGGTGGAATGCAAAAAGAAAGAAGAGGGGGATTTTTATGTTACTTTGACACATGATCGAGAAACAAGGAGGACATAAGTACTGTATAGATAGATGAACTCAAGAGGATGAATCTGCTAGTATTATGAGTAGGAAGAGAGATTGTAAGCAACCCAAGATCAGTTTCACTCACCTGATTGGCAGTGATGTCTATGTAGATGGTGCTGGAGGCAGCCAGAGGGCAAGGGCCGGCCAATCCGATGCCAAACAGCTTCCTGACCGACCAATCGGGAGAGGATCCACCAAGTATGACCAGGTCGTACACCAGAGACACTGTCTGCCGCAACTCTAGACCAGTCACCGAGCAATCCTTATTCTGTGGCAGAGAGAGAGAGAGTTATGTTACTGAATACAGTAGACTTCCTCTTATCCGGACTCCTCGGGACCGAGGCCAGTCCGGATAACGGGTTTTCCGGTTAAACCGACGTCCCCAAAAACTCATTAAAACGGACTGTTTACTGTGATATTCGACTTAAATTTAGGAGAGCATTGTATTTAGACACGTGATCACTGGTCTCAAATCTTTCCCACGAGAACAGTCGTTTCAGTACTGCCCACTTCCTGCCGATCTAGTCCGGTTAAACCAATGGGCCGATAAAAATTGTCCGGTTAAACAGATGTCATTTCCGCCGAGTGTGGTCCGGTTAATCCGATGTCCGGTTAAAAGGTATCCGGATAAGAGAGAGTCTACTATAGTGAATTTTTTAGAAGTATTAAAATAAGGTATCAAAAGGCTAGTAATGGCCCACATTTTTAGCCTCAATCCTACCAAAACCATTGTTATCCTTATTTAAAACTAATTACTGTAATTTTATCTTTGGTTGACATAGTTGATGTTCATTTCTTTCTTTATAGAGTTAAGAGTGTGTTGCTAACCAGTGGTTAGTGTCTCGAACTTTGTAAAAAATACAAACTGGTAAGTTATTGGTATTGAGGCCCTGCCAATTATGCTGGCCAACAATTCCTAGTTCAACAATTTCTATTCCAAGAATTAAGAATATAGGAATGGTCTGTGTAATTATATTGTCGTTAAGCACATGTCAACTAATAGACAAAGTAAAATACAGTATTAAAAGACACTTCATGTGCAATATGGACAAATATAAATAAATAAATAATCAGACATATAGATATAGACACTGGAAAACAGCTAAAAGTACAAAATGAATATCTAAATAAGTTAAAATCTTAATATACCACAGGCCAAAAAATCATCAACTGAATAAAAAACATTTTCTTTTAGCCACTTTGACAGAGAAGGTTCATTGTTGTTTCATTGTTCATTGTTTCAAAGTTCATTGTAGTTCATTGTTTGAGAATGAGGAACTATGTTCCATAGTTTCATCCTCAGCTCTACCCAAAAAGCTAAACAACTGTCTGACCTGATTTAAAATTGCAAAAAAATACATTTACATATATAATTTTTTCATTCAGAGTGGAAACTATCTAGGAAAATGTGTTTTCAACTAATTTAAAGCTGACAACTGGAATAATATTAAGAGATAAATACCTGACAGACTGGTCTAAAGTGGACTCCCAGAGAGTGGTAGTTGGTATTGTGAATGTAACCTGCATTCAACAGTGTTGCCAATCCTTTCTGAAATTAATAATATTTAATAGTACCTATATTTCGTAACTAGGGCCGAAAATGAGGTTTTGAAGGATCGAGATCAGTAGAAATTATACCTTTATACAACCACAACGTAGAGGAAGTAGAAAATAAGTTCTTACTTACTTCAGGAACATACCAAACTGAATGATAAATCAAACTGGAGTAAATCATTTTTTATCCCAACAAGACTGATCAGTTTTTTTGGATATGACGATATTCAGCAGAAGATGATGATATAGGATACATGGGATACAATATGCAGGTGCAATACACAATGTTAAAAAATAGCATGTTCAAACAAAGTGGCAATCACTTTTCCTCCCTTTAAAAATTATCTAGTTGGAAAAAAATTGCTAGATGGTTCAATATTTATTTTAAATGGGAATTGTTACAAATTTACTTTGAGAACCAGTATTTTTACACTACTGTGTGTTAATCTTTATTTAAACTAAAATAGGTACCTTAGAATCACAAGGGAGAAGTTTTTTCCAAGGAGTCAAGTTTTCGGTGCAGACGATTTCCCTGGGAAGTGTACCATATCTCAGCAGCGTGGAGTTGCTTGGTTGAGTTGGGTCATCAATTCCTAGCGGCCTGAAGCTCATCTCCGGACTCATGCTGTTGGACGCATCGATAAAGTTGAGCGATGCACACAACAACCCTGACAATGCTCCATTTAATTCCTTCCAGTTCTTGTTCACGCTGAAACCAAAATTAATTCATAAGTAGGGTTATTCGCTTGTGTTTGTGAAAATGTATATTTTTTTCCTGTAGCTACACCAGAGATATTCTTAAGTAACTTATTCATCATAACACAAGAGACAATATTGAATGAAACCAGTGTCACACAGGCTTAAACTATTTCACAAATCCCACAATGCATGGGACCCAAATTAAATTTAAACCATCTCCATAATTATAAAACATTGAATTTTTTTCAAAAGATTAAAAAGGTCAAAAGAGAAGGCTTCTAGAATAATAGTAACTTAGCTTAAGAATCATAGTATACAAACTATACAGTTGGCCATTGAATGATTCCTATTTCAGGTTCCAAATTACAAAAATAAGAGGATAAAAATTAATTAAGAATAAAAAAATAGTTGTTAAGAAAAAACTCAGTGCTCGATTTGCGGGCAAATGCGGCGGATGGAAGTTCCGGCACCTCTCTTTCAGGAAGATAAAGATAGCCATTATAGGTGCAAATCACATTAAATACTAAATAGGTTACAGTTACGGCACATCATTTTTTATAAATCAAGCACTGAAAAACGTATGTTACTATGTAAGACTAACATAGGCCTAGGCCATATGGTTAAGATAAGTCATTTTTCAAATCCTCACCAGATTTACAATAAGAATACGACATAGACAAATAGTGAGCCCATGATAACATGATATAAGCCCATGATAGTTAAGCTGGTATAAACACATGAGTTAGTAACCAGGTTGATGTAAGTAACCTAGTGAAACTGAAATAGAAGTTTTATTGAGTAAATTTGTTTCTTTCCTTAAAGGTAACTGTATTTGCTTATTAGGCTATAGGCCTACGTATGTCATTCAAGTATTCCTCCTCCATGTAAAGTTAGTCAATAAATTCACTGTGTATTCTGAAAAGACTCACTCTTGTGTGCCAGGTTTAAACCACACCCAGAGCTCCGCGCCAGGAGGGGCATCATTAACCGGATAGCCCCAAGACTCGTGACGCCAGAGGCCACCAGTCAGACTGATATGCAGTTCTCTTATGTTGAATCTGTCGATCAACTCACCCAGTGGCCTTGGGAACAGGTGGCAATGGTCAACTACAAACAAAATATAATTGTTAGGATTATATTTACTGGCATGCTCTAAGATGATAATTTTACAACTTATGACCTTAAGAGAAAATTTGGATTCATTCCTCCTCAATTAACCCTAGCAGTGGCCAATGTTAAAAATGGGGAATGGCCAACCCATTTTGGCGATTTTGCAGACCTTTTTTTAAAAAATAGTAAAAATTCAACCGTACAAGTAAACCTAGCCAACCTTATACCCCTATTCATTTTGTCCGGTAAGAATAGGACAATCTAGAAATAGTAAGGTAATATAATAATGATTTAGACAGTGTATTTTTTTCGGTTAAGTAAAAAAAATAAGAATTTTTTTTTGAAATCTCAAAAGCAGCTTTGGTAAAAATTGTTCTAATGATTTTTGTATGGGAAATTCATTATATACATTTTGTAGACAATCTAATTCCCTACATAGAAATATATAACATGATAGGAAAATATTTTTTTAAATAAGTTTTTGGGGCGAAATATAATAACAAACGGAGAACCGAAAAAATTGAAAACCTTATAAGTTAGTGTTAGTTTGTGTTGTAAAAAGTTACCTATATAAGAATAAGAAAGTTTATTGCCGTTGACCAAGTTGTACATAGGAATAGGCATTGTCAAATTACATTAAATAAAATATTATATAATAGGTACCGGTATATATACCGTATATAATTAATATAATATAATACTCATTATACTAATAATTATATAGCTTGAATACATGTTTGTAAAAGTAATATAAAAAAAAGTCATAAAGTTTATGGTAAAAATAATTTTGTATTTATAAATAAAATTATGTTTTTATATAGTTTAGGGATTTTGTGAAAAAAAAAATTCATAGTAGGTATTTACCTGTACCTATTAAACTTTTGTACCAAAGTTTTAAGTTCAAACCAACATAATCATCTTGTATTCAATTAGGCTTACCTACATAAAAATGTACAACACGTTGGGTAAGATTTTTGTTTTTACGTGTTAGGGGCGTAATAATATGATAAACGGAGAACTGTAAAATACAACCACAAGAAAAATACAACCTTTTATAAAGACAATTTCACACTATTCAGTAAATATTCATGCATAATAAAATGCATGAAGATTACAGTTATATACACACATCGAGACCTTGATAGTAGTGACACACTTTGGCCGTCTTCCTGAGAGAAAACGGAAATAACCCTGAGCACATGACTGCCACCATTGACTATATAACACTATATAGTCAATGCTGCCACTATCACAAGCTACATTTCTTCCTCTTCAAAATGACATATTATATGATTAGTAATAATAACTTATACTGTACGGTATGTAATTCGTATTTTCCGTACGATCGTCTAGCGGCTGTTGGCCATTTGTTATAAATTTTGTAAACAGCTGTTTTCATAAAATCGTACCAGTTGTCCAATCAATATTTCGTTCTAAATATCACTACCTTAATGAAGATCAAATCAATGGCTATTCAGTGGTACCACCCGCAACATCCCAAGACGAAAATTACCCGAGCAGGGTAATGCCAGACAAGGTCGTGCCGGGCCAAAAATTCATTTGATTTCTAATCGTCGTGACATTGTTATATAGGCCTACCTGTTACAGGGTTTGTTCATGTGTAATAAAATTTAAGTTCAGAATGTGATCTTTTGAGTGGTACCGTATAGGCAGTAGTATGTTTTCTGTGCTATTACCTAGGACAATCCCATTTATATCAAACCTAAAACTTGCTAATCTTAGGCCTATTTAAGTATATGAAATATGTGTAAGTGAGTGAAAATTTAAAAACGTACGTTTTCATGTCCCTGGCCTTTTACTTCGTAGATACTGGATTTGTAGTTTATTATTATGTGTTTTAATATTTTTTGGGACGGGGGCAACATGTTACACACATTTATTTGGTTTTAAATAGGTTCTAGGTATTTTTTTCGTATTTTTAAAGTCTCGAAATTCACGACCATGACGTGTCCCTAGGGTAAATTTTCCAACTTTCACCCTGTTTTTAGACTAATTATTCATGCCGAAATATATAAAGCCATATTTTTATGTCATCAATGGTTATTAAACTTACAAAAAAGGAGCATAGCCTATTATAATTTTATTGTCTATGCAAACTGACTACCATGACAAAATAAGTCTGTCCCTCGATTTGGCGTCACGACCATTTGGGAAAAATTTTCAACTTTGGAGCACGACAGTGGCAAGCCTGGCGTTGATAGAGTCAGTTGGTTTTAGAGACTAGTTCGGGGTGTACGTCAGGATTGTAGTGCCGGTCGTTTCGAGTTGAAAGGAGGAATTACAAGATTAATAAAGGAAAGATTGTGTTTTTTGTAATTTTGGTGTGTCCATGACCGTAAGTAGTCATTCGATGAAGTAGACATGGTGTTAATTTTTGTTTATAAGATATTTCAATTGTTAGATTAACCTAGAAGTCCACTTTGTATCCTCGAACATGAGGTGCAGGGCTACCGCCAGAACAGAGCCGAATAACACGTAATTTCACGACCAAAGTTTCACGACCATCGCGGGTTTTTTCACGACCAATCCAGGCTTATGGATTATAGTATGTTTGGTCGTGACAATAACTTTAATATAATTGTAATTTAAACAGTTTAGTTCAATTGAAACACTTATTTTTTTATAACTAACAGTATAATTGAAGGATTGTTTAGAAAGATTTAGATTATTTCAGAAAATTCACGACCGTACCGCTTGTCCCTGACCATCACGTTTATGATTTCTATCATAAAAAATTCAAAAATTAAAATATCGTGATATTTCAATGTTTTATACACAAAAGAAGCACACCTCTATACAAACATAACGATTTTTCGGGTCTCAGGTAAGTTTTTTCGGAGTTATACAAACTTAAAAAGATTTTATTGGCTTTTTTTCAAGTTTTTGAGTTTTTTTATTTTTTTCTAGAAAGACCAAATATACCAAAAGCTCAGTGACCTTTTTATTGTATAATGGTCATAAAAGTAAATTAGTTTATAGCAAAACATAGTTATAAAAATAATATTAACTATTTTTAATATTCATTTAAATGTCTGTTATGGTCGTGACAGGATTTTGTGTTTTTCCACTAAAGATGCTCTTTAAAAAAAAAAATACCAAAGATATTGCGTTACCATGGACATTTTATGAAACTTCAAATGTTAATGAAATAAAAATAATAATAAAAGTTTTGAAAAAAGGGGAAAAAAATTTGCAAAGTGCTTTTCCTGAAAACGTACGTTTTTAAATTTTCACTCAAGTACTGAAATCAAAATTGCAGCCTAGCCTATGGTAAGTTTGTAACTTAGCAATTTTTTAAAGAGTTTGAATTAGTTCCTGGTAGGTTTAAGGCTCTGGGGATCGGGAATTTCCTCCCTACTGGAGTTATTGCCAGGTTCAGTCCAATCCTAATCCTTGCAGCCTAAGCAAGTTATTTCACCAAATTTTGGGGCAAGACATTCTAAACCTCGTACACCCCTAGAAAACATTACAAATATAAGCATACCTAGCTAATATGGATGAGCTGGCAGTATAGAGGGGCTCCTAGCCTAGATGTTGATAAACAAAATTAGCCTAGGCTAGCCTAACTTATATTGCAAACTAAATGAATAGGCTACTTACATGCATTTTGATGGTGTTGCTTCTGCCATAAAGTTGTAAATTGGAAGTATGTATATACATGTCCGCTTGCAAGAGGTTTGATCAGAAGTTCTTCATGAAATTTGTCATTAGCTTCGTGACTTAAAACCACAACAAAATAGTGAGCTAGAAATAATATTAGTTTCATACCCATTGTGATATCAAAAAGTCGTTGCTTTGATTAAATTTAACATCAGAAATATTATTACTCCATACGAAAATTTACTAAGCATATGCTGAGGCAACATACTTAACTAAACAACTACAAACAAATCGAAATCACTTACAACTTACAACTAGCACTTCACAACATTAACATAGGAGTGCCGGAGTAAACATAACCTAACTTGTGTTTTTGTTTTTGGGGACTCCCGGACCCGGACTCCCTCAGTAGTCTAGCCGGTCGAGTTCCTGCAAGGCTCACGGGACGTTCCATGACGTAGGCTCCAGTTCCATTCCTTGTATGTCCCTTGTCCATTGGTAGGGCGGGAATTCGACCCGTAGTCTAGCTAGCTCATTGGTTTGGATTCTTGGATTGGCCTGTCTGCCGTGCCGTCACCGTCTGGCTCTGGCTGTCATGTCAAATTGGGTAACCAGACCATTGACCAGAGGACCAGACGAGACTGGAGACAATTTAATTTTATTTCACATGTTAAGCCCCCCACACACTACCAGACCAGACCGTCTTGGACGGCTCTACACACTTCCAGACCAAACATTCGTAATTGAGACACCGTGGTGAGAACTCCAACAAATGAATGAAGACTGTCGCGACGGTCGGCCGTCTGGCAGACAGCGCCTCACACTCACAGACCAGACAAAAATAGTGGTGGGGGAACCTCAGACAGTCTGTGGTCTGAGGGTTCAACCACCAGACACGCAGACAGCCTGGTCCGAGAAAATTTGTCTGCAGACAGCCCCACATACAATAAAACAAGTGCCAGCCCTCCAGACCAGACCGTCTGGCTGCAACCATACCGTCTTGGAACTGCTCTACAGTCTACACACCCCCAGACCAGACATTCGAAATTGAGACACCGTGGTGAGAGCTCCAACAAATGGATAAAGACTGTCACGACGGGCGTCTGACAGACAGCGCTACACACCCCCAGACCAGACATTCGAAATTGAGACACCGTGGTGAGAGCTCCAACAAATGGATAAAGACTGTCGCGACGGGCGTCTGACAGACAGCGCTACACACTCAACAGACCAGAAGTAGAAATCCCCCGCATTGAGCCCCGCGTTCTGATTGGTCGAGAGCTCGATGACGTCACAAAGATGGCGGAAGGAGTAGGGCAAAAAGTGTTTGGCGGGAGCTGGGATGGAACCTGGTCCGGCGGCATGAGAAGCCGAAACGCTAACCACTGAGCCACGGCGCTCGATGTTAGACTTTGTGTCGAGGTCGTATACGAGGGCCGGCTTCGAGGGCCGGCATCGGGGGTCGGTATCGTGGATGTTTTTTTTTCTTTGGCACGAGATGATCGTGGTTCTGCTTTTCTCCACCAGAGTGTGCTGATATCGTCTGTTTTGGGAAAAAAAGGTGGTTCCGTCCTTCTCCACCAGAGTGTGTTGATACCTAGGTCGACTGGTCTCTAAACCTATTGATGTATTTTTGTTTGTTTATGGTTATATTAAATTGATTGTGGTTCTGCGTTTCTCCACTAGAGTGTGCTGATATTGTCTGTTGTCCACTAGAGTGTGTTAATACTATGGTTCTGTTTTTCTCCACTAGGTTTAACTGAATTATATGAAATGTCACTCTTATAGTTGTACAAGCTTGGTTGTTTCATAGTTGTATCCTCATTTATGTTAATAATAATATGTTTGGTACTTTGAACTATTTGAGATGTTACTGTTGTCACGATGATACCACATCAATTATTTCATGTTGATTAACGAGTGCTAATTACCATCTTGTATGGATGGAATATTCTTTGTTACTTTTAATTTTTGCATTCTTTGAAAAACTGAAATAACATGATTCTTATAGTATGGTAAAATGTCAAAAAGGAGAGTGAAAGTAAAAATATGGTTGAATAAAAAATGATGTGTTTATTATACTAAAAGATGTTTACACATGTTACATAACATTTATGAAATAGTGTTAATAAATGATTATTAAGATTTATATATAAAATCATTAATACTTAACAAAAGTTATTTTTACATATATAACAAGAATAAGAATATATTTATTTCCCTTAAAATCAGTTAAACAAGTCTATGATATAATAAACTAAGAGTACTTGAATACTAAGATATACATATATACAATTAAAAATAATATTAACATACAGGAATGCATTTGAGGTAAAATATAATAAACAGTATAAAATGATATAAAATTACATTTTCATCCATTTGTGAGCTATGTATCAATTTTTAAATCTATAGTTTATCGGTAAGCATAAAATCGATTGCAAACTGTTTACTGAGCAAAGTGAAAAGACTTTTTTAAAAATAAATATTATATTTCGCCTCAAAAGCGTTCCTACATGTTGGACATGTTCCAAGAAATAGCAAACAGGGTCCACAAAATATATGCCCACACGGTATCAGTACCACTGATGGAGTAGACTCCATACATATCGGACACTCAAGATGTTGTTCTCGGGCTGGCCCTGGGTCCATCGATGGTCTTGTGTGGTCATAGACGTTGTAGTCGTCATTCCTGTGTTCAGCCGCATACGATCGCATCAACCTGTTGTCTGCTGCCAAGGCTGTCGTCAGGGAATGATAAATTTCTCTGAAGATAGTAGCAGCTAACAATTGCTGTTGGATCGCACTCGTCCGAGCCACAAAGTAGCTGACGAAAACAAGTAGATCTCGAAGCTTCTGTATCCACTGTCTCACTACATTGGATGCTCTTGGATCTGTCCAGTCACATCGCCACTCCTCCCTTAGTTCTGCATTGGTGTTCTGTAAAATAAAACAGAGAGTCTTAGAGTTTGGAATTAAAAAATGTTTGGTATACAGACAATATGTTAGGAACTGTTTGGAATTTGAGTTTAACAACAGGTTAGTCGTGCTAAATATATAAAACATGCATGTTTTATGTAAAATGCATACCGTCACAGTGTTGTCTACCCTGTCCAAGATGCGTTTGGAGACTAGTAGCTGGTTTGGTGATATGTAACCTCCAGAATGTTGGAGCATACCACAGCAGTACCCACACAACCCCCAGAAGCTTCTTGGGTCTGTAGAAGCTGTTCTCTGAGGCTGATTTGCTGCATTGCTAGTGGTAGCAATATTGACATTCTGGTTCTGTAAAAAATTAAAGACGATTAGTATTTACTATTTAAAACAAATGATTGATAACTTGTCTGTACCTATAGTCATTTACTATTTAAAACGATTTGTTGATAACTTGTCTGTACCTATAGTCTTCTAGAAACTTACACGGTGATTGGTTATGTCTTGTAGGGGTGTGGGTCGGTTCCGTTGTGGTGGTGGGAAGGCAAAAACGTCCTCGTCGTCCTCCTCCTCTTCTATAGGTCTTGAGGTTGGTTGTTCCGAACTGCGACGCAGGATGTTGGGCCGTCGAGAGCTGGTAGGGGTAGGAGGAGCATTGGTTGACTGGGCCTGATTGGATGGTGTCCTCCTGACCGACAACCAGCCTGATGAAGAAGAAGAAGCTTGATTTTCTGCCAGGATCCTCTGCATCCAGGCAGGGAGAACTCGTCGGTTCTCGTCAACCGGTTCGCTAGCTTGGGAGGTCGATGGAGTCGGGGCAGGGTTTGCAGTTTGCTGCCTGACTCTTGAGGGTAGCCGAAGACCCATAAAACTCCTGCGGAACCGAGCTCTCAGGTGGTCGGGGAGATTCTCGATGGCTGTAATAAAGTCCTCCATTGCAGCATCGCAGGCCTGGGGGTTACCCTGAAAATTATAATAGTGTTCTTGAAAATACCTATACATGAATCTCTTTGAAGTGTTAAAAATCCTAGTTGTGACTCAACCCAAATTCATACATTATGTTTAAAGAAGGAGAAATATTGAATAATTATTATCATAGTAAATATCATTTTTGTAAAAATATAACTATTGCTAGTCCATTGAAGCAATATCTTGATAAACCATAGTTAAATATTTTTTGAATAAATACATACTCATTATTTGGATAAATATAGTCAGTTTGATAATATAAATCAATACTCTATGTAAAATAAATTGCATTATTATTATTATTAAATACATACGCTCGAGGCTGGACCTCGAAAGTGAGGCATGAGCCTATCTAGGCTTTGACGAACTCTCGTCCAAGCCTGATGATACTCGACATCTATTGAGTCTAGCGTCTCAGTCAACAACAGAGTTCGGCGTGCCTTAATTAGCATCTGCTGTGTAACATCCCTCTCCTCCCTTTCTATGTCAGTTGTATCATCTTCTTCGCTGGAGATCTCCTCGACCATGTCAAGGTTCTCTTCTGGTGCGAAGAGATCCCTGTCGTCTGAGGACTGCTGAGGAGCAGGAGGCTACATAAAAATAGTCAAAAATAATGTTTGTAATATAGATCTGATTTAAAAAGAATTTCTTTATAAAATTTAACTTATGTTTTTTGATAGCTTTTAGATTTTTAGTAAAGAGTAAAACCCATTTATATGTGAACGTACTAGTGATTATGTTATAATAAAAATAAAAAAAAATATAAAAAAAAAACAGGTTATGGTTAATGGAGAATCTTTAATAGTGAATAGTGTATATTTATAACATTGTTAATAACTTGTTGCAAAGGTTAATTTATAAGCGTATTAGGAGAATTATTAAACAGGTAGTTTTTAAAATATTGTAAAATCACATACCTGATTCGGGGGTCGGATAGCGACACAGCAGGTCACTATGAAGAGCATGTAGAGGAGCACAGCTGTAGAAGTTAGCTTGGTCATGTTGAAGCGACTGAGGCTTGCAACGATTGCGGGCGTATTAAATAGCGCTGGCTTCTTAACGTCAAGGCTCTACAAGGTCAGGCGTGTCCCGCCATTCTGAGACAAGGCATAGTTATTATGTAAGGGGCCTCACTTATAGAGATAGCTAGCAAAAGACAAAACGCTATCTCCTATTTATATTTTTGACCCAAGTTTCCACACCACCCATGAGGTAGGGTCATGGCGCGTTCTTTTTTTGTTTACCCAGAGGCTTCCCCTGGAGGCCTAACCCTCTGGAGTCAAGAGGGACTAACATATGCTTTGACCAACCCTAGTTACATTAATATTACCACAACCCCCAGAGTTAAATTACATTAAGTAGTTTTCAGTTGTAAAAATGCTGTGTAAATGTTTGTTCATACTCACACACACCCATACTAGAGTTGTCACAAAGAAAACACATTTCACGGTTTTACAGGGGCTTATTCCCAACTTTGTTTCCTGTCAAAGTTAACCTAAAACGGATGACTTCACCTTTTTTTTTTTTTTTTTGTAACACATTAAACCAGGGGGAACATATCACGTTTTATGCTTTTTACGGCAACCCTGTGAGTAATAGTGTTGGTTTGGTCTGAGGAAAACATATTACGTTTATGCTTTTTAAGGCAACCTCTCCGTATAGGATTTTACAACTGTTGACAGGATGACAGACTCTTTGGTTTTTAAAACTCACACACAAACACACACACACACACACACAACTCACACAGCAATTTTACATCTGAAAAGTATATTTACATCAATAGAAATCATATTTACAATAGAGCTAATCTAACTTTTTTTTTTTACTTTTTATTTTTCTTAGTAATAACGAGAACGTATTCATCGTTGTTTCCATGAACCTTTTTCAATTCAGAAATGAAACTAACGTGATCACAAAGAAATTTCCCACTTACTACCTGGTACAAAGCAATGTTAGTCCAATCGACTTTATCTGCAAAATCATGAATAAATGATTCGGATAGGGTTTGATTTTCACTGATAATGGACCAACATTCGCAGAGAAATACGATGCAAACTCTCTGAGAATTTTCTCATCGATTTGGCATCTTTTTAAAAGTATGTGCCAGTTAATTCTGTGAAAATACATTCTAAGCAATTCAATATCAAAATTATAATGAGTTGACAGTAAATCCCAGTTGAGAAATCCGGCAAATCTCATTATAATTTTATCATTTAAAACACCTACCGGCTCTTTTGGTTCGGAGGAGAGAATATCCCAAGCGTTTGTGTCCATCTTGTTTGGTGGCTGATGAAATAATGAATTTAGTTTTCGAATTTTAATTTGTAAAATGTTTTGGCACTGCGCAGAGCACATTTACCCCCACCATTGTGCTGAGGTAAAAGACAAATCATCTGTAAGTTTGAAGAAGAAGAATTCGTATACGATTCTTCGATAGCTTCAACATTGACATGAAACTCTTTAAGAAACTTAACTTTTTCGCTACCTTTGTGTAAAGTGTAGCAAATGGTTTACAAAGAGTTCGGATTAACTCTTCATCGTATGGTATACCTTGAGTATCCCATTTTATGAAGTGAAAATGCCTCGTTAACCACCTGGCTGATCGCAACATTTTATTATTTAAAAATGATTCGTTAAAAGGAGCATCAAAACTAAATGTGTGTGAAAAAATGTTTACTCACTATAGCAAACTCTTTGATTATAAAACGATTTTGATTATCTTTGAACCCGTGAAATTCAACTATTGCTGACAGTCCCTTAGTTTTATTATCGTCCTCGCCCTTCTCCTGCTTTTGTTGCTGCTGCTGCTCTACTGATCCCATATTAACCATTTCTTGAAAAACAAAACTTCGTCAACTAATTTATTTACAAAATGTGTAGGCAAACCCGCGGGTGGAATAGCGTCGTCCTCCTCCTGTGAGATCAAAACGCGGTCTATGAACATTCGAATCAGTTCTTCGTTGGTAAATAGCTCGACAAGGTATTTTTTGATTTCGTGGAGACTGCGCACGAACTGATCCCACTCATCACGGTTTAAGAGAATCACTCGTTCTTTGTCGTGAATGGACACATAGAGATTACCAAACACCTTTCTTACTTTCAATGTGTATCCCCCTTCATTAGTCGTGACACTGTAACCTTTTTTAGTTTCATCAGTCAAAGAGGATGTTATTTCATCAAAATGAACGGCTAAATCGTTAAAAGCACTATAGGGCCAAAAGATGTAGCTTTTCCCGGTTTTAAATAATACTCCTACAGTACGCATTAAACTTTCAAAATATCCGACTACTATGAATTTAGAACAGTCCTTGTCCAAATAGAAAATACTTTTTAAAAATATCTCTCTTATAGTGCTACGAGGAAGGGGCACCTTTGTGTTCTTCCTTCTGGGTTTTTTCGCGGTCATTACCTCGATCTGACCCGTGGTCTCCTCCACCTCCTCCTGCTCCGCCGGCTGTTGTGTTGAAAGAATAGTTGCTTTCTCGAACTCCATGGCTCACAGACTGATCCTCGAATGAATTTATTTTTACAATTATACAATTCCTACATATGTACCCCCACCCCTATTGTCTATTCGTTGTGATCATCATCATCATCATCATATTCACAATCATCGTCATCATCTTCATCATCTATTGCAGACATAGACCCGTCACTATCGGTAAACTGCAAAGACTCGGTATCCGAACAACTATCACTTTTGTACCAATCATTTTCCGATCCCCTGTTGATATTTTGACTAAAGATAGAGTACCGATTTACCAAATGGTACTTTAAACACCCGTACTTGTAAACGTTGAGTGGTGACTTTTTACTAGTATCCGTGTACATCACACGCTTCGGGTTATATGGTATTTCAGCTGTATAACTACTGTAAAATCTCAAACCGATTCCTTTATATTCAAACATTTCATTTACAATATTTTCCAACTCCTTTTCAGTGTACTCTTGTTTTAGTTGAGAGCGTGTAATGAATTCGATTGTTAAAAAATGAACATCTGACAAGTCGATAAAGTTTACAGGTTCTCTTCCGTTAATTTTATGTTTTTTTATCAAAACCATGTCCTCGTCAAAAAGATTTAGATTTATAAACGCGAGCTTGTCATGTTTTTCAATATTTTCACTTACCTCTGGATTTCCTTCCTGCGCGATCTTTTGGTCTTCAACACTCTTTGGCGTCTCCATGGCGACTGAATCGAAACAACACGTCTTTTTCACTTTGATTCACCATCGAGTGTATTTCGTCGAGTATTTGCAAAGCGCGACAGCGGTACATACCCGCTAAGCAGCATTTACAAGTATCTACTACATCAATTCCGGTTTCGTTTGTTTGTACACTTTCAACGCATTCTTTGTAATGTGAAAACTCGTCAGGCCCGGCGGTGTCCACTCTTTCTGTTAGATTGTGACGAGCAATATGATCGTCGAGACGATTTAAAAATTTCAACACTTTAAGTCTCTTTCTTAAAAGTTCCTCGTTCTCGACCGTCATAAATGCCGGATGGTTTTCTATATCTCGTTTGGCGTCCATGTCTCTGATGTAATTTTGCAAAATTATCCCGTCAAGATCAGAGGTCTGCGAGCGATTAATATTTTCAGCTCAGTTTCCTCAATTACAAGGCGACAGCACAAGGTGATCACGTGTCTGTGTGGCGCGCCTAGACCTTGGCCGGCCTTCGAACCCGGACCTCGGCCCTCGACCTCGGCCTTCGACCCCGGACCCGGATAACCAGTTGGCCTTGGGCGGCGTCTCAGACGGAGATCTTTCGCACGTCGCCGGTTAGTGGCGTGTAAGTGTAATGGCAATCGTGAATGATGAGGCAATATCCCCAAGTGTTGGCGGGAAACTTTTTGTTAGTTTGAATGTCCAACTTCACTTCGACAGGGCCTGTCTTCATTGAATCGTTTTGTTTCGAACAATCGATTATGTAAATGGGACATTTTGTTGTATAATCTGTAAAGTTTAATATCGGTGAGCCTACTCTACCGTAATAAGAACTTTGAAAATTTGCGTAAGCGTCGTAAAACAACGCCGTATTTGAGAGTAGAGCGTCATAAGGGTAGTATATCGAATTTAGGTACACTTTTATATCTTTTACGTCACAAGAATCGAATTGTGACATATCCTTGGTGATGTCGTTTTTCCTACCTGTTTGAAAGCCGACAATTATGTACCTCGGTTTTTCCAACTGGTTGGTCGTACGGATAGGCCAGGAAAAGGAATCACTGGTCGTAGGTAAATTCGCATACTCATGCATTTCCCACTGTCTGAACGGTATGTGAATGTGTGGGTCTTTCTCGATGTACTTATAAAGTCTGAGTTTTGCCGAATCGTTTACCATCACATGAGGCACACGCCAGTATATCTTTACGATTTCCAATTTTAAAGTACCAGCTTCAGACGTACTGACGGCGTTCAGGTCGGTCGAGGACCTCAATAAAATAAGTTCTTGTTTACTATTGACGATTACCTTTCTATAATCCTCTGCGAATCCTAAAAGAAGTCTAAGCGGTATGGAGTATATAAAGTCTTTAACATTCACTGTCTCACCAGGCCCGAACCAACAGGCGTTCTGTAACACGTTTTTTTCTTCTTCCCGGATGGAAACCAAATTTTTCAAAGTCGTCGTGATTCCCACATTTCTAGTCCTATCGATTTCTTTACCACAGATCTCATAACGAACCTCGTCAAACAAAAATGCGATACCGTTGTTTACTAAATTAACATCTAATGCTGTCGCTCCTGTTGTTTTAGTTGCCTCTACTTTACCGTGAATGACAACGTAACTATCAAACGGCAAGGTAAGAATATC